CCAGTCGTTTTGTTGATACGGTCTGTTAATGATGCAAGATAAGAATTGTTTACTTATCTTCAAAAAAATCAAATATCCGAAAAAAAACCACTGCCGGTTCCGAGAAATGTTACTTTTTATCATTTGTATTAACAGTATTTCTCTCATGTGTTTTAGGGATTCGAACTCCATGATTTCGATGATTATGATGAGCAAAATGATTTTGAAGATGAAGAACTTGTTGGAGAGGAGGAAGAGAGTGAAGATTGGCAGTCTGAAACGGACGAGAATGAGGAAGAGATGGAAGAGGGCGAGGAGGAGGTGGACGAACCCATAGAGATGGGGGCTGAAGTAGGGGAGAGGAACAGGGAAGACGAAGAACACGAGGAAGAAAGGAAGGCAGGCAAAGATGAGGGGGATATTCTGCAAGATCCGCCACCACCCGCTGCATACTTTACGTGTTTCGTCGACAGGATTGTCCGAGATTCAATGATTGTCCTTTGGCCCGAGAGTACGGCAATGGTTTTAGCCCGTTTTCTTGCCGACAACGATCAGTACAAAGCACTGTTGGTTCGTTGAATTCTATGAAAAGTTGTTACTTCACTGTTGTACGCCCCTGCGCCATTGTCGCAGACTAATAATTATTTTTTTAGCTGTTGTTATATTTGGCTCCGCTAGATTTGGGGCATCAGTCCTTGTGCACAATTCGGGGTAGCATCTTTCAAGCAGAGAGTAACTACTCACTGTTTCATGTCGTGAACAGAGACCTTTTTCGAAAATTGTTCTGGACCAGTAGGGAATCGAACCACTCTTCTTCACGTCCGAGCGCGACGTATTACCACTACACCACTTGTCCTCTCGCTTCAGGTTCAGCCTGGCAGCACTTCTACTGTGTATCTGCCTTTCAGGGCAAAACACCTTTTTTTTGTGTCGGCTTCTTGGTTGGTTTTTTGCGGGTCTTCCGTCGCACTTTGAGGACTGTTCAGAAGCAAGCTTTCGGCGGTGAATATACTTAAAAAACATGAATTATTGAAGCGTTTTTAGAGATGCTTTATATGTGTTTTAGGCCTACTGTCACTTGAACGAACCGTATTTAAAAGAACTGTGCAGTGCATTTCGATTTTTTGAAGGCATCGCACTTATTGGTTTAAAGGAGCCGGAAAAAGTAACTATTTGGAAATTTGCTATGAATTTTCAAATTTCGCGATTTTTTTATCTTCCCACTTTTGTGTTTTTCCTCTTTCGGTGCTTAGATATTCGATATTTTCAACATAAAGTGATTTTCTTCGATGAACTTCGATAATGATTTTTCTTTTTTTCAGGCTATGCAATCATTTTTGGATGCTGTTGAAGGTGTGAGAC